CACATCTTTTTTTCGCCTAGGGAATTCCGAGACTTACCTCCAAATGATGGTGAATTATGCTTTGGAGTCCCCTACATAGGAAAATGTGTGTGTGGACAGTTATTGTAATAAAAAAGGAGGTTACTCAAGTTCTTCAAGATGCATTATCCACAGTCACCCTTCTTTTTCTTCTTCCTTAAGTCATATAAATAGGAGCTCTGCAGTTGAGAAGAAACTGAGGAGTAGGATGCATACATTGAATATCCTTCAGTCCTGAGCATTGAGGATGACGGGCAAGAATGGAGTATAGAACTATAGGAAAGCAGGGCTGGAAGGGACCTCACAAGGTCATCTAGTCCAGCTCCTTACACAAGGCAGGATCATTCCTGACTATACCACTCCAGCTGAGTGTCTACCTAACCTGCTTTTGAAAATTTCCAAGGATGGGAATTCCATAGTTTCTCCAGGTAGCTTGTTCCAATGTTTGATCGCTCCTGGAAAGTTGCTTTTGGACTGTTTTTAGTTGTTGTATGGACAATACATCCTTGTTCTTTCTCCTTATCTTGAAACTGTAAAGGGGAGAAAAGAGCAGAGCTGGCCTTAGGGGTGGGTGACATGAGTCACCCAGGGTGCTGTGGTCGGGGTGGGGGGCATACATGCACACACATGTAAGCAGCCCACACACACAGCAGTGCTCTTTCCCATCCCTGGCTGATCCCTGCCCCAGGCAGGAGGAGCAGTGCTCAGCCCAGCCTGTCCCAACCCAGTCACTGCTGAGGAGGAGCTGGGCTGGGCTGGGCAGTGTGGGCAGCAGCAGTGGTGCCTTCCTGCTCTTCTGCCTGGCACACCATACTGCTTTACCTCCCTGCCAGACTGCCCCCTGCCTTTGCCTGCAGAAGCACCTTGGGGGAGGGAGGGGATGCCAGGGGGTGCCAAAATACAAGTTTGCCCAAGGCACCATTTTCCCTAGGGCCAGCTCTGGATAGGAGTTCCCTCTTTTATTAACTCGGAAGGACTGCAATGCTGGTATAAAGAACTTCAGTAGACAAAACAACAAAAGTAATAGGGAAAATCCATATTCAAGTAACTATCTGCAGGCCCTATGAAAGCCAGTATTTCATCCAGAGCTGGGAAGAAATTTATGACCATTTCCAGGGGCAGGTCCAAAGGGGATGCAGTGGTGTGACACACCCTGCTTTCAGGCAACCATGCTGTGGAAGCAGCAGCAGGGGACATTTTTTAAGTCCTTGAAACAAGTAAGAATCCCACCCCCCTCTCCCCCTTTCCTCTATGCTCAGCAGTACCGCCCCTCTCCCCCACACACCGCTACTGCTGTCTCTAGTTGCCCCCAAGGTAGGGGCCAGGGGAGTTGCTCCAGAGTCGCTCCCATTCACTCCAGCCGGGCTCCGTGCAAAGCCAGGCTCAGCCGGAGACAGCAGCATCAGGAGATGGGTCCTTCCTTCCTGCCCAGTCCCCACCCCACCCCTGTGTTGCCTGCTATCCAGAGAGCAGGCACAGGTGAAGGGAATCCACCTGCTGCTGTCTGTAGCCAAGATTGGGTCCATGTGCTGCCTGGATGCAGTGGGGCAGGAGCAGCTATGGAGCCTCCCCGCTGCTCTTGGGTCAGCTGGGGACAGTAGAAGAGCAGCAGAAGCAGCAGGGAGAGGACGGAACATGCCACTGAGCAAAGGGGGGAAGGAAGAGTCTTCACTGCTTGAGGGACTTAAAAAAGTCCCATGCTGCTGCTCCTGCAATGTGGTCTGCCCACCTTGGTTTTGGAGGGAGGCTGGGAGCTGGGGGCGCAGCGACCCCTGCAATGCAGGTCGCTGCTTCTGCACCCTGCTTTCTGAAATCTGGGATCCATTTCCTATTTGATTTTTTTAAAACTGGTTCTGAGGGATGACAGTCCTCTATCAGTACATAAACTTTGTGTCATCAGCATTTTCACAGTTTTATTTAGATATCAAAGATAGGGGTAATTTTCCTAGGCTATCTTCTGAAATTTACGTGATGATAAGAGTTGTATTCAAACTAATGTTTTTAAATTGTACTGTAGCTTTATATTGGCCCTGGGTGGGTATTCATTTAATGTTGTTTAAATTCCAGATTAACTGGAGTCAATAATAAAAGTGAAAGAAAAAAGTCACAGTATAGCTATGGAACAGATGTTTATATTAGCTACTGAACACTCAACTGGATAATAGGCAGAAGGCAGGGTAAACGTGTACCTTATAGACTAACTAATTCAGAGGTGCATCATTCAACTGGATGATAACAACTATAAGTCAGGACCCACTCAGGGTGTGTCTACACATGCAATTAATGCGACTGAATATACTCCAGCTCACTTTGAGCCAAAGTAAACTAATCCTGATGTCACTGTCTACACATGTGTTTAAGCGCAGGAATTTACTGTGCTGCTGGATAACATTTGTACCTGACAGGACTATCAGGCAGCACAGTAAATTAGTCTACTACACCCTAATTGCCTGTATGGGTAAACTGTGATGATTTACTGAGCAATAAATTAGTCTGCTGTTCAGTAAAGTGTCTCATGTAGACATGCCCTGGATGACTTAAGCTTGAAACCTCTGTATTCCTTTGTAGATCCCCTGAGTCATCCAGTCCCTCAAATAAAGCATGTTACTTTCATGCTTTGCCTCTGAGTAAAGTTGTATGACAATTGTTTCCCAAAGAGAAGAGCACAATTAAAAAAAATAAAACATCAATGAACTCAGCTTTACTGAGTTGTTTTCATAAACTAGCTAAATAAGGGGTGGGAACAAAATATGTAGCCTGTATATACATGGCAGTTAGCGGGGGGTGCACGTGTCAACCTCAACATGATTTATTTTTTGTGCTGTCTTTCAGTTATAGCAGAACCGTTGATTTTATTTTCCTTCCAGCCTAACCAAACTACAGCTTTTCCAATTTCTATATGTGGCACAAGTACATTTCTGTTTGCTGCAGCACTGGCTGAGTCATTTAGAGAGAGGTGTGGAGCAATTGAAAATACCTATCAACACCATTAAACCACGACATAGAAAGGAAGGCTGCTTCAGAAAGCAACTGATACGGTCAACGGAATCCTGTGTAATAGTGTGATGTAAAAGATTTAATTAAGCATGTATTTGTATTTGTGATGTTCATTTGCACAAGAAGTGCAAGAATTCCTATTCTCTACTATGCAATTTTCTCTATGTAGCATGCGACTATTAGCAGACTACTATACTGTGGCAATTGCAAGTACAATTTTTGTACTGATCATAATAAGCATGGATTTAAAATGGCTAGTACCTTTCAAAGTAGGAGTGATTCAAAGTTGTTCCCATCTTCGAAGTATTACAAACATGAATTAAGCCTCCAATACCCATCAAATAAGTCCACAAAGTACTGGTAAGTAGCATTTTTCACAGATGGGAAAACTGACCTACGCTGAGGTTAGATGAAACACCAAAGGCCAAGCAAGAAGTCAGTGTCAGAGAAGATTATATTCTCTCTTCCCAAAATGTGATCATTTCACTAGTCCATGTAGTACTTGGAGCTAAGGGCATTACCAGAAAAAGGACCGTTTCCTTGAGCGAGTCTGCACTGCTGAAGATGTTTTTAGATAAATCGATGAGACTTCAAGTCTCATTCATAACATCCACAGGAGGTAGCAGGGCACACCCAATTTCATTGGTTTCATTGTCTCTCGGTCACACTGATTTCTTTACCTTTTAACCCCACCTAGTATATAAAATGGGAAGAAGGAGACAGAAGAGACGCTTGAATTTCCTTTCTCTGTGACCGATCCTAGATTGGAACCGGTGCACTTCTCAAAGGTAGGTATCTGGGAGTAAATGGAGGCGAGGGGGAATCATTGGGGTGCGCACTGTAGGAGCAGAAATAATAGAACAGTTCAATAAAAGGAGGGATGATAACCCTGAACCAATTATGGCCGATGCCAGGGAAGCTCTGACGGAATGGATTTCCCTAACCATGCCCGATCTATACGGAGCTCCGTTTGCAGAGGAGACAGGATGCCAGAAAGGGATGGTCCAGCTCTCCCGGGAGGGTGGGATGCATGGAGTCATGTTTGTGACTCCCAAGTTGTAGATCCGAGTGGCGGGTGTCCGCTTATCCCACCCGTGCCTCTGGGCGTTGCTGTTTGTCCTGTGGGGCCAGGAAGGAATTCTTTCCCTCCTGTTGCTATTGGCATCTATTTTGGGGGGTTAACCTTCCTGAGAAGCACTGGGTGTTGGCCACACACCTAAGCATGGGAATTTGAATTGGGATATGCTGCTGCTGCGGTTCCTGGCTAGAGGGTCTGTCTTGCTCCTCTGCTTAGGGTCAGCCCAATCTCTGCAGTTGGGATCAAGAAGGAATTGCACCCCATGGTCAGTGTGGCATGGGGGGGAGGGAACTCTTCCTCATCCCGGTGCCTTCCTCTTCTGCCAGCGCATTTTAGCAGATTCCTGCAGTCCTTCTAGTGGCAGAACATCGCCAGTGCCCTTGTCCTCCCCCCACCTGTGGCAATTAAAAGGGTGTTTCCGACGCTCCTGGCACGGAGCCTGGTAGTTGTGTGTGAGAAGAAGAGGTTTCGCTGCGGACGATCCTGCCTAGAGCACGGGGCGGGACTAGATGTGCCCAGACAAATCCTGGCAGGAAAGGGGCATGGGCAACGGGCTGCGAGGCACGGCCTCTGACTCTCAGCCTCCCGGGCCTGACGGGCTGGAGGCTGCACGTGAGAGCAAGGAAGGGGGGAAGCCCTGCTCCGGCCCCGCGCACTCCCCCTCTAGCACCGGGCACCGCGGCCCACGGGGCTGACCCGGCGGCTGCGGCCCCGTCCCGCTCCTCCTGCAAGAGTCCCGTGCGAGCCCACGGAGCGGCACTGCGGACAGGCTCGGAGCAGGGCCCCGGGGGAGACGAGGCGGCCGGGGTTCCCGCGGGG